CCCAACCATAGTTACTATGGGAATACAGAAGACAGGCATTCATCTTCAGAAGAGGATACTGAAGCAAAAAAAAAAAAAGCCTCTCCTATCCTAAAGAGTAACGTCAAATGGCTGAATTCATAGAAGAACTCAAAAAAAGACTTCAAAAATCAAATAAGAGAGATTGAGAAAAATTTGGAGAACAGATCAAGAAGAGAAAACATAAGAATAATTGAACTACCTGAAAGCCATGACCAAAAAAAGAATCTTGACATAATTATACAAGAAATAATTAAAGAAAATTGTGCTGAAGTGTTAGAACAAGAAAGGAAAGTAGAAACAGAAAAAATCCACCAGTCACCACCTGAAAGAGAACTTTGGAGGAAAGTCTACAGGAATATCATAGCCAAATTCCAAAGTTAAGGAGAAATATGACAAGAAACAAGAAAAAGCAATTCAAATATAGCAGAGCCACAATTAGAATTACACAAGACCTAGCAGTGGCTACCCTAAAAGACCACCGGTCTTGGAATACTACATATCTAAGAGCAAAAGAACTGGGGTAACAGCCAAAAATATCATACCTAGCAAATTTAAGTATAATCCTGAACCAAAAAAAAATGACATTTGATGAACTGACAGACTTTCAAGATTTTATTGCAAAAAGACTAGAACTAAATAAAAAATTTGATATACGAGATCCAAGAGAAATATAAGATGAACATCAAAGACTAATTACAAGGGACTCAACAAGGACAAATTTTTTACTTTTTTATACGTGGAAATGTAAATTGTATGTCTAAAACTGTCATTTGAAAGAAAGAATAGGGTAGAGCTGAGCATGATGTAATTCTAAAAAGCAAAATGATGTAGGAAAAGCTAAAAAAAAGTATACAAATGAGGAATGAGAGGAAGAACTGATACAGAGGGTGGGGGAGTGGTGGGTAGTTCTGGAACCCTACTCTCATTGGGAATGAATAAAAGAGGGAAATGTGTGTGTGTGTATATATATATGGGTATAAAAGTCTTCTAAATTCAGAAAATAAGAGGGCAAGAAGGTACGGAGGGAGGAGAGGATAAGGGAGGTATAGAAGGCTGTGTAAATTAACAGGAATGGGATAAAGGGAACAACATATATATTTAGAAGGGTATAAAAAACTTCTAAATTCAGAAAGAAATAAGAGGGTAAAGGGGCAGAGTGGAGGGAGAGGACAAAGGAAGTATTCTTGGAGCGGTAGTTTGTTAAGGAATAGGAGGACAAAGTAGTGGGTAGAAGTAAAGTAGAGGAATGAGGAGGGATAGGAATAGGGTGAAAAGGATAGTGAGGAAAACAGGAAGAAGGAAAATATACAAGTAATTATAGTGTAGAATGTGAATGGGATTAATTTACTCACAAAATGGAAACTGATAGTGGATTAAAAGTTTGAATTCAACAATACATTGCTTTTTAGAAATGCTATAAAAAATAAGAGATACACACAAATATAAAATAAAAGGTAAGGATTAAAATTTATTATGTAAAAAAGCAGGAACAGTCATCATAATCTCAGACAAAGTTAAAGCTAAAGTTAGATTTAAACAAAAGAGAAAAATAGGGAAACTATACAATGTGTCAGCAATATTAATCAATATTTATAGACCATATAAAATAGACAGTAAATAAATATATGAGAGTATACCTGCCAAAACAGACACAGTAACTATACAAATATAAACACAAAACACCTTTTATACAGAGTTAGATCTAAATAATTTAAGTAATATTTATTGTGCATGGGTACATAAACCTAATATAATAAAAAAAATACAATTTTACCTAATTAATCTATTTATATAATACCATCCCAATTAAATTATTTTTAAATTACCTTATTTAGTCAAAAAAAATAACAACAGCTCATTTGGAAGAGCAGAGGGTCAGGAACTTCAAGGAAACCAGGGGGAAAAGATGCAAAGGAACTAGATTCAATAGTATCAGACCTTAAACTATCTTATAAGGTGAGAGCAGTGTTGAAGCATAAAATGGATAATTTTCATTATTTTAAAATAAAATTTTCCTGTATAAAAACTATGTAGCCAAGAACAGAGAGAACGCAAAAAAAAAAGGGAAAAAAACTCTCACAATCTTCCAGAGAGAATCCAGAGAGATTGTTGTGGTGTAAGAAATGATGAGCTGGTGGATCTAGGAAAAATATGGAAAGGAAGATGCTATCCACCTACACAGAAACAGATGACTAGTGGTAATAAGCATAATACAGTCTTATGCATATGTGTTTGACTATATATGTATATATGTATATGGATATCTACATATATGTATGCATGTGTGTATAAATATATGTGTATATGTATATGTGTGTGTGTGTGTGTGTGTGTGTGTGTGTGTGTGTGTGTGTGTGTGTATAAAAATATATCCATGCTTAATTGTAGCCTTCTTGGAGGCGGGGGGCAATTAAGTAAAAAGTACACAGCAGAGGACAAAATAAAATATACAACGAAGCCAAGAAAAGATGGACAGCAGTGCAAATAATGTGTAATATTTATTACATAGGTTTTCTTGAAATGGAAATTCATTGCTTTATATTGAATCCTCTCATGTTTTGCTGTGTACATGTTAATGGCATTTTTTTCTTTTCTTATTTTGTATTTAAGTTTAAAATAAATTAAAAAAAATAAAGAAAAAATTTATCAGATATGGTCTTTGCCCTCAAAGCTCACAATCTGGGAGAAACAAAATAAGGAAAAGTTAAATAATAAAGGATTTAAAAAACTGTTCTTCAAGAAACAATTCAACGCAACAAACATTTATTAAGCATAAACTCTGTGAAAGAAACTGTACTCGTCTAGCGGTGTACAATTTTTTTAAAGTCAACTAAAAAAGTTATGCTGCCCATTGGGGGAATAAGATATTTATATAATTTAGTGTAGAGGAGAGATCAAACAGAATGGCCAGATTCAAGGAGAGAAAGATTACTCCTAGCTAAAAGGATAAGAGGCTTCATGAAAGAGGTGATATTTGAGATAGATCAATACAGATGTTACAAGGTAGCACATGATTAATCTTCCAAACAAACAGTATGGATAATGTGTTATGATTTCAGAAGAAAGGGCAATGATTATGTCCTTCAGTGACTGAGAAGGCGCCACATAGGAGAAAGGATATGATTTGGATTTTGCAGGATAGGTAATATTTTAAATAGATGCAGTGAATTCTAGGCAAGGAAAATCATATGAGCTAACAAGTGTGGAAGTAGAAAAGCAAAAGATATATTTGGAGGAGAGTAAAAACACTAGTTTAGCTATTAGATTTATTTATTCTTTTAATTCATTTTTTCAATTACCAAGCATTTATTTAGCTGGTAGGTTTATGATGGGAGTAGGAAATAATTCTGTGAGGGTAAACAGAGGCTTGATGATACAAATCTTGGAAAGTGAGGCTAAAGAGCCTACATTTTATTTGCAGAAAAAAGTAACCACTCAATATTTCTAAGAGTGAGATGATAAAAGCTGTGTTTTTAGAAAATTAGCTTTATAATCACACATATTATGAAACAGAGAAAGTAAAAATTAGAGTCAGTAGTAAAAGTTTGTAAAAGAAAATACAGGTAAAGGGTGAAAATATTCCTGAATTAGAGTGCTAGTAGTAAAGATGGAAAGGAAAGGGTCACACTTAAGACATTTTGAAGAGACAGTAATACTTAGCAACTGGTTAGAAGAGAAAGCTATCAAAACTACTGCAAGATTTAAGACCTGGGTGACTATTACCAGTAACAGAAATAGGAAAGCCAGGAAGCGTTGTTTTAGACACGTTAAGGAAAAGATGACTCGGGGGCATCCACATGGAAAAATTCAACATGATTAGAAATGCAACAATGAAATCTGGGACAAAAATTAAGACAGAAGATATAGATTTAAAGGTTGTCTCTACAGAGGTAATAATCAAAATTGTGGACATAGATAAAATAGCCAAGAAAGCATATATAGGGAAAAGCAGAAGTCCAAGGACCAAACCTTGGGAAATGTTTACATTTGCAGGAAGAAAGAGATGCCAATGAAGAAAATAGAAAAGTGATCAGGGATGGCAGGAAAAATAGCATAGTATTCCTATACCAACACTGAAACTAAGGGTTCAAGAGTGTCAAGGAGGGTACAAATAAGCAAAGAAAATTGCTAAAAACATAAGAGAATTCAGAGAAAAGTCCACTGGATTTGGTGATCAGGAGTTTACTGATGACAATCAAGAGTTCTGTTTCAAAGCGGGAAAGGGAGACAAGTCAGATTGTTGAAATTTAAGGAGATGGGGTAGTTAAAAAAGGTCAAGGCAGCAGAGGTAGAAGTTTGCCAATGAAAGGAAAGTGATAAATAGCATGTTAACTACAGAGGACAATATTAATATAAAAGTTAATAAGATGAGAAATTGTCACAGAGTGCTGGACTTAGAGTCTCCAAGATCTGAATTCAAATCCCACTTCTGATATGTGCTAGGTGTGTGAGCCAACTCAGTTTACTCATCTGTAAAATGGAGAAATACTTGCAGTACTTACTTCATTGGATTGTGGTGAGTTTCAAATGAGAAAAGGAGATACTTCTTAGACCTTAATACACTATATAAATAAGTTATTATCATTATTATTACTTTCAATTATGTGGATCATCTGGTCATCAGAAAAACACTTACCTAAGAATCAAAAGGTCTAAGTTTTAGTAGTAGTTTTGTGACAAACTTCCTTTGGGACCTCATGCAAGGCCCTTAACTTCTCTACACTCAGTGATAACAACTGCCCTACTTATCTCAAAGAATTATTATGAAGAAAAATGTCATAGTCAGGGGGAATCACTGAAAGCTGGAAAGGACCCTCAAGAAAAGTGAAAACACTTAGAAAAAATTTAAAGAGATATAGGAACATGAAGTATTAACATTATCATTCCCATCATTAAAAACAGGAATAAAAAAATTCAGAGTAAATTTTAAAATTCTGATATTATATACAATTATTCAGTTAGGTTCAAGAAAAACCTACCAGTTCCATGGAATGTTGTGCCAACAACCCGAACACAGCTTGGTACTCGAAGGTCCCAGAATCTAACAGTCTTATCTTGGGAACCAGATGCAATCATCCATCCGCTCCAAGTATAAAGTGCTAAAATATGACCTGTGTGTAAAAAAGATCATATAGCAGGTTAGTAAAATAAAACTCTCTCCAACACAGATAAAACTCAGTACTCAGTAACTGGGAATGGATAGGACTATTCTAATAGTGATTTGCCATGTGTCTCAAATGTGGTTAAACAATTTTCAAACAACTACAATGCAATAATAGACACAACCCTACATAAAAATCCTACATTCTGCTGTCCTGTCCAGGTGTGGAGGTGACACTGTATAGTGGAAGGTGATGCCACCAGAAAGCCTAGTGATGGACAGAATACCTACTACTGAAGATTGAGCCTAGGTAGTTCACCTGATGAGTTATCCCATTATGATTTTTTAAAATCAGAATCATGAAAGCCACATAGTAATATACTGACAGGTTATGATCTAAATCAGCAAAGTGAATAACTATACTGGTGACAACCTAGGCCTTTGAAGTAATATATATAAAACACTAAACATGATGTTAACAGAAGATATCGTGACAGAACGGATAGTGCTAAACTAAGAATCAGAAAGTCCTCAGGCTGAATCCTGCCTGACAGTTAGTTGTGTGATCTTGGAAAATCACTTAATCTTTCTGTGCCCCAGTTTCTTCATTTTTAAAATGTGGATAACACTTGTATTCAGCCTCATAGCAATGGTGTGACACTCAGATAGGATTATGTGTGTAAAGTGATTTGTGAACTTTAAAACACTATAGCAGTAGTAATAGTAACAATATTATTCATGAGTTAGTCAACAAGCTTTACTGTCTTATTGCCAGACGCTGTGCTAATGCTGGGAATGGAAAGAAACAGAACACTAGTTCCTGATCTCAAGGAGCTCACATTCTAGTAGAGGAGACATGTAAACAATTAGGTGTAAACAAAATTTATATGGCGTAGACAGAATGGGTGAGAGGGCAAGGCATTAGCAGCTGGGGGGAAATGGAAGACCTCCTAAAGAAGGTAACATTTGAGCCAAGGCCTGAAGGAATCCAGAGAAGATAAAAGGTGAAGGTGAAGATGGAGAACATTCCAGGGATGAAGAGCAGTTAGCACAAAAGCACAAAGACTGAAGAGAGAATGCCCTTTGTAAGAAAGGGCAAGTAGGCCAGTGTGGCTGGATTATAGATTGCATGGAAGGAAGTCAAGTGTAAGAAGCCTGGAAAGATAAGAAGGGGCCAAGTTTTGAAGACCTTTAAAAGACAGAGAGCTTTCTGTCTAAACTTAAAGGTAAGAAGGAGCCACCAGATTTTACTAAGTAGGAGATGACACGGTCAGATCTGAAATTTAGGAAAATAACTTTGGCAACTGTGTAGAGGATGGATTGAAAAGGGGAGGAACTTTTTGTTGTTATTTAGTTGTTTTACAGTCAGGTCTGACTCTCTGTGACCCCATATAAGTTTTCTTGGCAAAGATACTGGAGTGGTTTGCCATTTCCTTCTCCAGCTCATTTTACAGATGAAGAAACTGAGGCAAAAAAACAGGATTAAGTGACTTGCCCAGGGTCACACTAGTAAGTGTTTGAGGCCAGATTTGAACTCAGGAAGATGAGTCTTCCTAACTCCAGGCCCATCCCTCTATCCACTGTACCACCTAACTGCCCCTCCTTAAGGAAGGACTTAAGGGAGACCAAGTAGAAAGCTACTGCAATAATCCTAGTGAGAGTGGTAAGGTCTTGAAATAGGGTGGCTGTTGTATGAATGTAGGAAAGGATATGTAAATGCAAGAGATGTGAAGGTAGAAATGACTAGATGTAGTCACAGAATGGATACACAGAATGAAAGTAAACTGAGAATGACAGTGAGGTTGCAAGCCTAGGAAACTTGGAGAACAGTGGTGCCCTCAACAGTAAAAAGGCAAGAGTAAGAAGGGAAAGACAACGACTTCTGCTTGGACATGTTGAATTTCAGATGCCTACCAGACATCTAGTTGGAAATGTACAAAAGGCATATTGGTAATGAAAGACTGGAACTCAGGAGAAAGACCATCTGTATAAAGATGATAACTGAATAATCTTTCTTTAGTCAAACTGTACCCTAGGATCTCACAATGCTTCATGATAATCATTCATTATGAGCACCAAATACTGATAGCAAAACACACAAGCCTAATTAATGGAAATTAATTAGAAAAAATTAACACTACAGCATTAGTCAAATTTCACAATTTAGTAAAGTATATCTTAAAACAGAGAAGTCTCTTCAGATGAAATGTACTCATTATCACAATTGCACAATAAAACAGACATCAAAGTAATTTCCCTTATTAAACGTACACCCTAAGGATTTGATGTATGATTCTATGATGCCATCATCAGGGGGGGAAAGGACCTAACTGTACAAAATTATTCTAGTAGCATTATTCATCATAGCAAAAAAAAATCTATTTGTTATTTTTGTTTTGGAAAGCTTCTGAGAGAGCTGGCTAAAGACCAGCAGGTCAGCAACAGGGGCTACACTCTAACCCTCCTCTCCAGACTTTCTCTATCATGCCAAAGCAGAATCTTCCTTATGGAAATTCACTCCACACCTGAACTTTTCATACTAGAAGTACATATTGTTCCAGTGACTCCTTCCTCTGATGGGCTGGTTTCTCCCAACTCCATTTTAACAAAAGTGCATAAGCCAGCCATGTCTTCATTCTTCTCTAGGCTCCACTCCTGACTCTCTGAATTTACTCTACTATTCCCCCTTACTTTCTCCACCCACCCTTCCCTTTCAGCTTCTTTTCATATTGTCTTCCCCCATCAAAATGTAACCTAAGAACTGTCTGTTTCTATTTTTGCTCCTGGCTCTCAGCAAAGTGCCAGGTACACAGTAAGAATTTACTCAAATTGCACGTCCCGTACATACCTTACGCTCAGTATGTTCAAAACAGAACTCATTATCTTTTCCCCTAAACCTTCTTGCCCTCCTAACCTTCTGTATCAACACCATCTGGGTCCCAGTCCCTCAAGCTCACAACCTAGGAGTAATCATAGACTCCTCACTAAATCTCACAGCACCCACTCTCCTCCCACCCCTTCCAAGCTATTTTCAAGGCCTATTGATTTCACCTCTGCAACATCTCTCAAATATTCCCCTTTCTCTCCTCTGACCCTACCCCTACTCTTGCAGGCCCTCATCACCTCACACCTGGATTACTGCAATAGATGTCAATGAGCCAGCCTGCCTTAAGGCTCTTCTCACCACAATTCATTCAGTCACCAAAGTGCTTTTCCTAAAGCACAGGTCTGACTCTCTGACACTCTCTCTCTCTCTCTCTCTCTCTCTCTCTCTCTCTCTCTCAACTCCAGTGGCTCCTTATTGCCTCTCGGAGCAAGTACAAAACCCTGTGTTTGATATTCAAAGCCCTTCATAACCTACCTCCCTCCTACCTGTGAAGTCTTCTCATATCTTATATCCTACCAGGTACTTTCTGATCTAGTCACACTGGCCTCCTGGCTGTTCCATGGCCTCGGGAATTTTCTCTGGCTTTATTCCATGCCTGGAATGTTTCTCCTCCTCTACTCTAATGACTTTCAGACCTGCACAACTTGGCAGTAGGTAGGGACCAAAATTAAAACAGTCTAAACTTCTTCGGGCATCAGATAGGTTAAACTAGAGACAGACTAATGATGGTTGGTTGATGTGGGTCACATGACCAACAGAAGCGAGTGTGCAGTGGCAACCCTACATTTTTTGCTGGCCTCTGGAAATGGCAGGTAGCAAGGGGCCCATGCGACATATGTTGTACAGGCCTGCTCTAAGTCCTAACTAAAATCCTACCTTCCACTGGAAGCCTTTCCCAGCCCCTCTTAAATCCACTGCCTTTCCTCTGTTAATTACTTCTTATTTATCCTGTATATAACCTGCTTTGTATATTTGCTTACACGTTGTCTCCCCATTAGATTGTAAGTCCCTTGGGGGCAGGGACTATCATATGTCTCTTTTTGTGCTTTAGCACGGTGCCAGGCACATAGCAGGTGCTTGATAAATGTTTACTGATAAATATTTTTACTGATTACTAATGCTTACCAACTGAACCTGAAACAACCCATGTATCCAACAACTAGGGAATGACTAAATAAATAATGGCATAAGAAAATAATAAAATATATTATAAGGAAGGGCAAATATGAATAAAAGCTATATTAAGACTAATATGAAGTAATACACAGTGAAGAAACAGAAACGAAATCCCCAAAACATACCATGACTACAACTATGTAAACAGTAAAATAACAGTAACAAAATCTAGAAAAATATACAAATGAAAGAAATGCATGATTTGGCTGCTCTCTTGTTAAAGTTAATATATGAATTTTTAAAAACTGCAAATAATAGAAGTTTTCAGTTATATATATATATATATATATATATATATATGTGTGTGTGTGTGTGTGTGTGTACATATATATTTTCTTAAATTCTAGTTTGTGTTTTAATGTTTTCTAATCGTTACCAACTTTATAATATGCTTTTTAAAACTCTCATAAAACAACTAAAATCAAGTATTACATACCAGTGTGACCACTCAGAGCATGGAGGCCCTGTCCTCGCTGACAATCTGTTGTATAAATATTACAATCTCCTGCTCCAGCACTTATTAAAATAGCTCCACCACTTTCTGGACCTTCCATAAAAGCCAAATCTCTAATGGTCCCATCATGCATACTGAATTCCAGATCAGGTCCTGAAACAGTAATTTAAAATTTTGAAAAAAGAAAAACATAAGAACTATGGCATAAGGGCAGCATGATATGAGAAAAAGAACACTGATTTTGAAGTCAGATGTTTAAGATTTAACCTCAGCTCTGCTATTACCTGCTTAACCTTATGAAAATCATTTAACTTGTTTTGGGTACCTTTTTCCTCATCTGAGGAGGTTGCACTAAATCTTAGGAACTCAAGGAAGACTGCTGCATATTATTGTGATAACTTGAGATTATGAAATTTTCTTAAATCTGATACATCCCACTACACATAGCTGGGGTTCTCCAAGGTTTGTTTGTTTGTTTGTTTTTCATTTAGAATTAGATTTTACTATCCAATTCATTTCTCTGGATAAATTATAACAATACAAACTTGAGAAATCAAGCCATTAATTTCTTATAATTGTTGAAGAAAAATTATACAATGGCAAAAGATAAATTGTTCATTGGGAAAAAAGACTCAAATTAACAGCACCTTTTGATTTGATCAAACTTTTAAGGCTAGTCCTCATAATCATTTTATAATAGTATTATTGATCCTCTTTCCTCTTCCTTCCCTTTCCCCTCCTTTTTCACCTCACTGGAACTGAAAACTTAAGGCACTGGTGCTACATTCTTAGGTCTCACCCAAAAGAAGAAAAGAAAATAAATATTAATCAGATGTAAACTAATTCCTTATTACTACAATCCTGGATAATTATTTAAAACAATATATCCAGGCTCAAACAGCATCTTGTCAAATTTAAAGTTTATGAATGAAAAAACGTCACTGTTACATGAGCATGACATAAGTTATTAAAATATCAAAACTATGTGTTAAGTTCCTTAATTTCAGTTAAAATAAGCATAAAATGAAGTGTTTTGTCAGAGGCACAATGGAGAAATTAAAAATATACAGACTTACTATAAATTCTTGTGCCCTACCTGTTGCATTACAAGTCTCCGCATTAAAAGGTAGTACTTTGACATATTTGTCATTAGAGCCAGTAGCTAACAATTGCCCACAAGGACTCCACGCCACACAGTAGATTGATCCTTTATGATGCTTATTCCTCTTAAAACGTACCACTGGCTGCTTGGGAGAGCTATATGCACTAGAAAGAGAAAAGTAACTATGATGCAGTAACTATAATATATGCTGTAAACTTTCTCCTTGTTCATAAATTGTTCATAAATTTGTGAAATAATGTTTATTAATACATTAAAATTCATTTATGGTTTAATATTGCTCCTAAATAATGTAAGGATCAGAACAATCCTACCATATCAGACTTGACTTCAGTTGACAATTTTTTTGATATTTCAAAACCTAGGTGACTCTTTAAAGTTTTCTTTCATTCACATCTGGCTTAAAGGCTCACTGAGCAAATATGGTATACTATGAAAAATTACAAAAGTAATAATTAGCATTTACATAGTGCTTTAAGGTTTGTACATCACTTTACCCATGGTCTCATTTGAGCTTCACAACAATCCTGTGAGGTAGGTGCTATTAGTATTCCCATTTTATAGATGAAGACACTGAGACTCAGTTGGGTTAACTGACTTGCTCAGTCACACAGCTAGTAAGCATCTGAGGCAGGATTTGAACTCAGGTCTTACTGACTCTGAGACCAAAACTCTATTTACTATTCCACTTAGCTGCCATCTAGCTAACAAAATATCTCTCCTCTTTTCCATTTTTTAAAATTATTACCACAATAATTTTTAAATGATTAGATTATATGTTTTAAAAAGACAAATGCCAAACAAGATACCACATCTCTTTCATATACTATTTTTTCCCCACAAACATGAAATAAACAATCATTTATGAACTGCAGATGGGCTAAGCAAATTAGATGCCCACACTAAGTCTGGCATCAATATGGTGAGCCCCCAGGAGGTCCCTAAGGAGGGGCAAACCAGGCAGTATATACTCTAATAGAGTAGCAGACCTTAAAATGCAATGCTACATAAATATAAATTATTTTTGTTGTTGTTTAGTTGTTTCAGCGGTGTCCAGCTTTTTGTGACCTTTGGGATTTTCTTGGCAAAGATACTATTTCCTTTTCCATTTCCTTCTCCAGTTCATTTTACAGATGAGGAAACTGAGGCAAACAAGATTAAGTGACTTGCCCAAGGTCACATAGCTAGTGTCTGAGGCTGAATCTGAATTTGAGTCTTCCTGACTCCAGGCCCAGCACTCTACCCACTGTGTGCAATCTATCAGCCCATTACTATTGTTATTGTTATTATTCTGTCTGATATGGTCACTTGAACCCACATGTATTATAAAGGCATAAATGGCATTTTAAAATGGTCACCTAAAATACATCCTTATGATGATTTTTTTTTTACAGAGTTAATCATACACATCTATTTCAGGTGTCTCTAAATAAATTTTTTATTTGCAAAAAACACAAAATAGCTGATTAAAAAAACCAAAGTGGAAGCCTAACAAAGTAAAAGAATGACAATGACAGTTGAGAAGGGCCAATGTGACACCTAAAATATCAAAACAGTGATAAATATCTTTTTGATTGTCATCATTTATACAAACCTAGGATCAATGACTTCTGGATAGGCACATACTCTCAAAGTTTTTGAATTTGAGCCAACAGCATACAGACTACCCACTGGATGAAAAGCCACTGCTCGAACAGCTTGTGTGTCTTCTAAGGTGTTAATACAAACAAACTGCTTCTTTGACTTGTCACCCTGTGGGAGTAATGTTTTAACAATTAAATACATATTCAGTTTTAAATGTATTTCAACTGTATGTTATGGTATGATGCCTATCTTATTATCATAAGGCTCAATTAACTAGTCTCAGATGTTTTCATTGTCTAAGGCTCAAATTTCCCTCATTTTTATACTTTGCTTTTCTTTCCTTACAAGTAAACTAAGCTCAGAAATATTCATGTTTTTTCAAAACATCTTATTTCTTCTTCACGATAACAAGATATAGGAACAAATGTATATCACCAAATTGAGGGTTTTTAAAATTTTTTCAAATCAGGAATAGCAACCTGAGAATATAAGTAAAATTCTACGAAAACTAAAATAGCAGTATTTTTTATTTTTAGAGGTTGGAGGCATAAAGATTGAGGGTTAACATAGATATCTCCAAGTAATTGCAAAATACCTCTCCAAAATTTATTGTGAATATTTTTTATACTTTGAATATTTTTGTTCTTATATTTAAAATTAATTTTTGTGTAATAACTTTTTAGTCCTTTGAATTTTTATGGGATACATATAAAAAACTCATTCATTTACATAATAATTGCCCAAATTTATATACTGCTTTAAGGTTTGCAAAGCACCTCACACACATTATCATATTTGCTCTATTATCTTCTTTGATAATTACAAATTCCTATTGTATTTTCTATCCAACCATGTAAAAAAAGTGATGGCTTGCCACACCAGGTTGATAAAGGGAAAATAGGTAGGAGTGAAACGAATAGTCAGTGAAATAACCACAACACGCTAATAATAATGACTGTCTTTAACAACCAGCAAATTCTTCAAACCAAAAGATTATAAATTAAACAAAGCAGGAACACTGAATTATTAATATTTTTTAAAATGAAAAATTTTAGACATATTACCTCTTCTCCTCTTGACTTTGATAGAGCACCTGAAGAATCTGAAAAATGTGGCTGAATGACACAATGTTCTGTCGAGCTGTTTGAACAGGAATTCAAATTCAGTGTGTTTTGAAAATCAGAACAGAAATAAGATCAATTTATAGTTTTCAATCTCTAATTTTTATTAGATCAGTCAATGCACATTTATTGAGCACACATGTCTACCACTGTTCCAGCTATAGCAGGCCAGAACCTCCTGCTAAATGTTAGCAATGTAATATGGGTTTGAGAACTGACTGGCACACTAAGATTTGTAGTTCAGGGGAAAAGCATTCCCTTTTAGTCCTGAGAGAAATTTGGGACTGCTGTGATTATTAAGTCACAAGGCGGACTTGAGTTACACTTGGGAGCTCTTAAAGGGATATACATAGTCTGTAAGAGACAGACTTGGAGAAAGGATTAGGGGTTCCAAGAACTGAGGAACAGTGAAGAACTGGCTTTCCCAGACCTGCCTGAGACTTGAAGAAGACAAGCTAGAAAAGAATCAGTGGTATGGAGGCAACTGAAAAGAGAAACTGTAAAGAGGACTGAACAAAGAAGGGAACCCTCAAGCCATACAAACATCTTATAAAAGAGGACTCAGGTCAAAACTATAGGTTGATTCATCTCTTCAGGGACTGAGGAAAGTTCTATTTTTTCCCCAACTTCCCCTGCTAATGCCTGTCCAATAATAGATACTATTTACATATACTGCCTGCCTCTTTACCTAAATAGTTCCTGAATTCTGATTTTGCTTCAAACACAGAGTTAGCTAGAGAGAAACAAAGCTTTAAATTAGGACAAAGAGCTCTGCTTGAATGTTGGGAATTTTCTTAATTGGGGGCTTTGATTGAACTAATAACTTTCTGTTTGATATCAACTCCATAAAACCTTTAGGGAACAGGCTACCCAGAACTGAAGGCCATTATACTGCCCTTAGGCTAAAAGTGAGCTAGTCTCAGATGTGTGAACGGAAGTGGAAGGGTAGAGACAGAAGAGGCCCAGGTGCACATCTTCTTCACCCTTTCCAAAAGGGAAACAATCAAGTACTTCCTAGAGTGCTACCTACCAATTTTACAGCAGTATTTCCAGTTGTGAGCAAACTAAATACTTACATTTGGTTCCCACGGACAGGTGACTCTTCAAGAAGAGGAATATGATTTGATCCATGGTTAAGAGGAGTGCTGGTATTCATATTTTGTATATCTGGTGCTACCCTCTGATTAGACTCTGGAGGAGGTGTTACAAAACTAGCTGCAGAAGTGTTGTTAGATCCATTCCCTTTGTTGCCATTACATTGTTTGCCAAGTGTTGATACTTCATTACCAAGACTATCCATACCAATATTCAATTCTCCAAGCTTTTGAATAGATCTGTAAGACAATCATTTCAAAACAAAAAAAACCCAGTCATATTCATCACTTCAAAAAGGAAAAAATCCTTGAAAGGAAAGAGAAAAAATTGTCATAGGTTATCTGTAATAAGTTTACATATTAAAAAATGATAATCATTGACAAAAAGCAATTATTAGCCAATTTACTTAAAACTGGTATCATTATTATTTCTTATGGCATTAGCATCAAAGTAACATCACATTTCTCAAAATGAATGCTATCATAATATTAAAAATTTAACTGTAAAAAAAATTTAACTGTAAAGCAAAACATTTTCCTTCATTTTATCATCACTTTTCTTACATAAAAGTTTGTTACAGAATTTCCCACTTAATATCATGCATAACATTAATGTTAAAAAACAAACAAAAATTAAAGGTTTAATTAAAATCTTATTCTAACACCTGATCATGATGTAGAGGTAATCCTTAGCTCTGGTACAAGACAGCAGATAACAAGATGAGGGCCATAGTACACGGCTAGAAGCTTGGCCTGACAGTCTGGTGCTACTAGTTTGAGACAGTGAGTTGTAAGAATTTTTGCTCAAGGACTCTATCAGGACATCTAAGTCCCAGGGTGAGAGTTCCAAAACTGAGATGATCAAGTCCCCCAAGGTGGCCAGACCTGTACAATAGCAGGTGTGCTGGCCCAGACTGTACTTCTTCAGTTCTCGAAGACTTAATACTCTCGGAATGAAAACTCCCACCCTATGGTCCAGCTATCCTGATTGCTAAGTGAGTATAAGCTGGCCTCGGACCACAAGACCATGATTCCAGCCAGCAAGGGCATTACTGGAAGTCTGACATTGCTGAGACAATTAAGAGATAGTGGCAGTTAATATTACATTTGGTATTAACAATTTTTTATCACAGTCGAGGTAAAATAAGATGTCAATAAAATGAATTAAATAAAATCTATTTTTTTAGAGGGGCATGGAAGGGATTCTAGAGCCAATTCCAATTTACTCACAAAAAACTAAAAAGGAAGAAAATTAAGAAATACAGATTGCAAAAAATAAAGTACACAGAAAAGAAAAAAAAACCCACCCACTTTTTTTCAAAATCTGATCTGAATTCATCTCCTCTTCCTGAATTCTTTGGTGTCTTTTTCACCAAAGTCTTTCACTAAAGCCTGCTTACTCATTTTTTGTTATCATTCAGTCACTTCAGCCATATGCAACTCTTCATGATCCCATTTGGGGCTTTCTTGGCAAAGATATTGGAATAGTTTGCCATTTCCTTCTCCACCTCATTTTATAGATGAGAAACTGAGGCAGAGTTAAGTGACTTGCCCAGGTTCACACAACTAGTAAATGTCTGAGGCCAGATTTTAACTCAGGAAGATGAGTCTTCCTGACTCAGGTCTAACACTCTATCCAATGTGCTACCTAGCTGCCCACTTGTTCACTGGCACAGAATAAATTTTATCTCTTTAAATTAGAATATTCTACAAAGTAGTAAGCACTACACTTCATTACAAGACAGGGTTCTCTTAGATGTGGGAGAGGAAGCCATTAGGAAGTGGCAGTCATGTAAATGAAAAAGAATAACAAAACTTTCTTTAAAAAATAAAGAAAAAGAAGATAAATTGCTACATAGTAGCTAATACTTTCAATTAAGGCAGGTAGTGAAGTGGGAAAATTAGAGATGAGGAATCTGATAATCCACAAACTCTTAAATCAGTTACCCCACTTGGCAGATGTATGGAAGAACATGAACAAAAATAACAGGAGATGAGAAGGCATGAATAGGCTGCAACGTACCTATTATAAGGAATACTCACCTCAATGATATAACAATTGCATGAAATATCAAACTACTAAATAAGAATATATTATCTGGGGGAAAAGATTGTGGAAAAAATCAGCTATGATGTTTGCAAATTTCTAGAACAGCACAAAACTATTAATAGTAACCAACACATTAAATAAAATTAGTTGAATTTCTATAGGCTGAGTTGGAAACAGATGTTATATTGGAAGAATGGAATAATACATGCATATTCTGTTATGAAATAAGCCATAAGACAACAGTTAGTTTCAGTACTGTATATAAAGAGAAGAATAATTAAGAGATAACATCAGCCTAATGGTGCATATCATAGGGTCCCACAGTCCTTGGTCCAGCATTATTTTATCAAGTAGTAAAACAATTAAATTAATTGTTAAAGCATTGTTTATGAATCCTCAAATTCAGTGTCATTGCTACTTCTAAAATGATGAAACTAATTTCAAAATAACTTTGGCAAGACAGAAGTTTATCAAAAACGGTTAATTCAAAAGGGAGAAGAACACTATAGGGACAAAAAATGAATTACACAGCTATAAACCAGGTCATGACTAAAGTAATTAAACACAAGTCACAGAAGCAAGGGATCCAACAGAATGAGTCACAATTTAAGTGAGTCAAAGATAATGTTGATGCTAAAAAAATAAAACAAAAATCTCGTATAGTGAAGCTTTGCTTAATGAGGAATAATTATCTAATTTGTGGATTTTTCATGTCTTTATTTCTTTTCTGCCTCCTGTCCTATGGCTAATTCTACCCTATGGCTACAAAATTCTTCCGTCTAACTAGCCCAACCTTCTGTCCACCCAAATTGTGTTAACTAAAATCACCAGCTGCTCTGGTGAAAACTCCCTTTTCCTGGATATCTCTTCCTTTTACTCAAATCCCTATACCATTTACTGACTGCTTCACATTTCTGAATGTGAAGCTAACTCCTTACTTGGCATCCTCTGACAGAGCCTAGTTAAATGATATCTTCACAAAGGCACAGCCTCTTGCTCGTGGGCCATTAACTACTACCTCCTCCTCCTCCTGGGTTAGGGGTTTGCACAAGGAGCCCCTACTCGGGCAGCAGCACAACCACCAACTTGACTCTTGCTGCTTGTGTCTCTTCTGGGCTCTCTGTCCTGTATCCCTTTGTCTTGTATTACCGTTTTCTTCTGCTGCAGTAGCAGCCTGGGCTCTTACTCCTCATAATCATCTTTTTCCCTTGGTGAATAGGCTCAAGTTTGTAGGGTCTGTGATTTGAGGTTGCATCTTAGAGTCCTTTGCTGTTCAGAATATATTATTCCATTTTTTTCCTACAATTTCTAGTGAGTGCAAAATAGTCTTGGGGGAGGGAGAAAAAGGGGTTTGAATAATAGCTGGAAGTTCAAAATTACTGAGATGGGAATGGTGTAACCAAGAGGAAGTTCTTAATCACTGAAGAACAAGTTCAGGTAGGTTTTCGTTGTCCGTGTAAGTTTTGACTGCAGGATGGAATTCCTTAGGGTCTTAGGCAGCTTCAGGAGAGAAGGAAAGTGACTGGAGCTGAAGGAATGGTGTTAGTAAAAGGTGTTACTCCCCTTCCCCCTGTGCAGGGACCAGGCTACAGACTTGATGGAATATCCTTTGTCCTCTACTCTGAAAGGGTGAAATCTGGTGATGGAATGGAGGTTTTCCTCTTCCCAAGAGAGGCTGGAAACTATGTAGGAGACCTGGCATAATGGAATGATGTTTTCTCTGCTTCCTTCAAGAGCAGCAGACTTGTGTGTGAAGGAAAAGCATTTCTTTTCTTCCTGAGAGAAGCTGGAGACCATACAGGATATCTGGCATGATAGAATGGCAGGAACCAGGAAAATATTCTTCCACTAAACCAGGGCTTCTTAATTTTTTTGTGTGTCATGGACCCCTTTGGCAGTCTGGTAAAGCCTATGGACTCCTCAGTGAGAATAACGCTTTTAATGCATAAAATAAAATACATAGGATTACAAAAAGAAATAAAATATACTGAAGTAAAGTTTTATCAAATTTTTTTCTAAAAAGTTCACAGACCCCCAAGTTAAGAATATATTAAACTAAATTTTAATCAGGCCTTTTAATAAAGCACTGCATCCTTTTTGGACACAGTAAGACATACAAAACATTTAGAAGGTCTGTGGAAGAACAAATAAAATTATTAAAGAATTGGAAAATTTGTTAGATAAGATTAAATTAAAATTAAAAAGAAAAAATTGTTGAGGAATAATATAGCCATTCTAATGTATAAACATGGTTATTCTAAGGATAGCAATATTTTAACTGTTTCTTGCCATAGTTATAAGTCTCTAAGTATAAGCAATGCTGAATATATTTCCCGACAGCATTAAACTAGATTATACTACAAAAGAATTCATAGAATTCAATGAATTGAACTTTATCAATCACTTAATAAAATGCCAATCATGTGTTCAAGGCACTGTGCTAGGCACTGGGGATACAAAGACAAAAAAGCCCTACATTCAAAGAAATTACATTCTATTAGGGATTGGGGGTACGAGGGGTCAGATGGCAAAAAACACATAACGACATGTATAGAGATTAATAGAAACAAGGCAACTGAAGGAAAGGAAAAAGCACTAGTAACTGATTTTTGTCCCTGATGATATTTTAAAAGAAGGCTAAATGGGTTTTGAATGATTTAGCTAAAGGGAGGGATCAGAGTAGATGACTCTGTAAAATTCTGTAAGATATTTGGTTCTATGGTTACCTAGCTTGATAGGTAGGTACCGTTTAAAGAAGGTGAAAAGTACTCATAGCTAGTGATAATTGTTAATTACTCCCCAGGTCAGAAAAGAGTACCAAGTCATCTTCTAGCCACTGGTTATCCTGACTTGGGAAAGCTTCCAGAGTGTTAGTGCTTAAGGTGATTTAGCCAGAGGCAGAAGCCTGGTGAAATTGTGGAAGTGTAGAAAAAGTGGATAGGAGGGCAAAATAGAGGATGATGTACTCCACTGATACACCAAGCCCTAAGGCTCATTGGGTTTTAAATCCCGATACCCTCCCATGAAACAATATAGGCACCCAAGGACAGTAGTGACAAAGCCCTGAAAGATGTGATTCTGAATGGCACAGTCCTGAGCCATAATCTTCACTATTAGAAAAGAGTGTGCCTGGATAAAGAGACAAGAGGAATAGGAGCTTGGTGAGTGTGAGCAAATCTGTAACATAAGGATCTTTAAGACACAAGAAATTATTGGAAGCAAGATATAAGAACCTCAAAATTTTTAACTATATTAATAAAAGTCATTACACACTTTTACTTTGTAAAAAATCAGTTAACTTTTTTAAAATGGAAAGAACTGTCCAAAAAACCAACCTATTAAGGAACTGCTCAGTGAGATTCTGTTGCTGATCAGAACCATCTTCCTGATTTACACCTCCTTCAAGTAGCATTTGCTGGTAAATTTGTCGTTGCTGTTCCTTCTGTTCTAAATGCTGCTGATAGCGCAATCTCTGCCTATAATATTCTTGAAACTGTTCCGTTGAATCACGAAGCTTAAAAAAATTAGGATATCATATTAAAATTAATACATTTTAAAAGACTATGACATATACCTAATAAAACTACTAGTAATAACTTAAGTATAATAAATATTACAATAAATTTACTATTAAATTTACTGATTTAATATGTTTAGTTGTCAAACATATTAAATATTGACTATATTGTTCTATACAGAATATCAGCATACCAGTAAGGCCAAGAGTATGGCTCAATATTCAAGTAGGCCAATTAGCTTTGGTCTACTCCTAGGTCACAGACTAAACCCCCAACCCCAATTAACCATCTAAAATATATATATATATATAAGCTCATGGTCATAAGAGAGATCTAACAAGAAAATCCAGATGGCTCAAACTGATAGAAAAAGCAATTATAAGCTTATCTTTTACTGATTATGATTTACAAGCTTAATTTTTTATACAAAGGATATTACTATTTCACAAAATGTTTCGATAGTCTTCAACATGCTTAATTTAAGCATTAAAATTCCTTAGTTATTCCAGACAGCAAACCTTGCAAAACTTCACCCCTAAGAAGTATTTTAGTATGGTTTCAAATGACTTCTAAAAACAAAAAGAAAAAAAAGTTAAACTATTTCAGTCTTTCTATTGGCAACAATGTTATACAACATCTAGCAGAAAGGTACTGAATGTGGATTAATATTTACTAGACTCTATTGTTGGCAACAAAAGATTCTATTACCAAGATGGGTTCTGTTCTACGGTCATAACAGGCCTACCCTGCTCTGGGATGGCTATATACCAGTTAACAGGTCAGGTGCACTGCAGGCATCTCAAAACAAAATGATCAGCTCTAGGGCTGGCCAAGGTAGAACTTCTAAGAGTTCTCTTCTAAGAGAACTTCTATATGTATACACACACACACACATATTTCTCACACACATATATGTGTGTATATTAAATGGGGAAGGGGAGACAAGAGAGAGAGGGAAAGAGAGAGAGCAAGAAAGAAAGAGAGAGAGAGAGAGACAGAGACAGAGAGATACTATTCTCAAATAGCATTCTCAAAAGTCAATAGGAAAAAAGACCACGACCTAATTGTTGACCTGCTAAAAACACAAGTGAGTTTATTAGACTTAGACATCTCCTACTGAGAAAAATCACTTGGAATGAGTTAGGTAAATGATGAAGTGTTTATTTCCAACAATATCTCATTACCAATAGTACATTAAATGGTTTCTTCCTCCAATTAATCAATAACAGCAATATTTATGAGAGCAACTGTAATACAACAGTATCATCAGTTTAAATAATAGGAAATTTCACTGACACCATGTAATGTTTCAACTCAATTTTAATTTCATGACCTTTTTTAATAGCTCTATATAAAATAAAATTTAAACCCCACTTTAAAAACTGCATAGTTTTCCTTCAGGATTCTAAGAAAGGTCAAGAAAAAATAACCTAGCAACCTTTAAAGCTCAAATTCAAGTACAATTCTATATTAAAAGTATAAATAGTAGCTTTCTCTTTAAAGCCAGTTAGTAAAAGATTACAAGATATAACTGAAAACCCAAGCCTACATTTGATCTATTTTTAGAACTCTTGGTTTGGAAATACATAGACCTAGTAGGAAACATAAGTAATTACACACTGACAAATCTACATTGCCCAATCATTCGTGATAAAGTTTTGGGTTTTTTTTTTTATAAAAACCCTACATTCATTGGCGAAGGAAAAAAATGAGGCATTTACAAGAAAAAGCTAACTGTACTTCCCCAAAGGAGCACCAGAATAATATAGTTAAATTCCAAATCAACAAGTCCTGGTTCATATTTAAATGACATCATGTGATACTGATGTTACCTCATTTTTTTCTTGCTTGGCTGGCACAGGATTTTGTGTTCCATTTACTGGCTCTTTTTCTGAAGGTGAACCCTGCTCTAAGTTTTCACTGCTCACAGGATGCTGGGCTTCTGAAGGAGTATCACTTCTTTCCATAAAGTACAAAAGGAACAAAAATGATGAAATTAGTGTAGGCAAACAGATGTGGGGATAGATATATTGTAATAAGAAACAACAGAAGATCTATGAAGAAAATCTTCTCATATAAGACAAATGTAACAAGAAAATTTACTGAAAATTGATGTATTCATGAAAAATCAAAGTACTACATTAGGAAACCCTCCAAACCCTACAGCTTAGTATGGTGAAAAGATCACTGGACTAAGTTTCCAGCCTTTTAATTAGCTATGTGACTTCTGACGAGTCACTTAACATCTATGCGCTCCAAGTTTTCTCATTCAGTAAGGCAGCTTAACTAAATGACTGATTTCTAAGGTCCATTCCTGCTTTAAATTTATATAATTCTTCATCTCCCTACATTTTCCTGAAAAACTTTCTTCAATTTCTCTGTATTAACTTTCCATTTTTGAATACGCTTCCCTTAGAATCTGCTTGAGATGTATTTGTCTGGTTATTTCTAACATTCTTCAGAAATGTGGGCAATTCTCATCAATTCTTATTCTCTTACCTCTACAAGGATTAGCCTAAATGGAGACAAACCAAGACCCTGAACCAAGAACCTTAGGAACAACTTTACCCCCAAACCACCAGAGCTTCTTTTTTTTGGGTGGTGGGTGCTAGGCAATAGGGTTAAGTGACTTGCCCAGGGTCACACAGCTAATAAGTGTCAAGTGTCTGAGGCCGAATTTGAACTCAGGTCCTCCTGATTTCAGGGCCAGTGCTCTATCCACTACGCCACCTAGGTGCCCCTCCATCAGAGCTTCTTAAAGCCCAGTTCCTACAACCATGATCAAGGGGAGAAATTTAAGAAAAGGGCTGCTTCCTCACTACCACCAGCAACAACTGTTGACCAACTGCTACCAACACACAGGTATGTAAAAAGAACGGTGGGCAGCACACCTCCAGACTAGTGGTATCAAACTCAAACAGAAAAGGATCCCTGCAGACCACATACTGACTAAGAAAACCACAAACTAACATTCTCAATGTTTTACTGTATTTTTATTTATTCTGTTAAACATTTCCCAGTTACATTTTAATCTAATTTGGGCTGATGCAGCACAGTGACCATGAGTTTGACATTTCTAGCCCAGACCATTGATCCTGCTTCCAGCCTAGCCCTCATAGCTACCATTACAGAGAAGCAACTCCTATGGAGAACAGACCAGCCTTCCTAACCAACTTCCACTGACAGGGCAGACAAGCCTGCCTAGCTGAAGAAGCAAGACACCCTAAAGGAAAAACAAGAGGCAGCATGAGTCAGGTAAGTCACACTACCATCAGCACCATAAAAACTCTCTCTCCTCTGACCCCAATGATGGAGGCAGCCAAGAACCCTAAACTCAAGAGCTTTCAGAATAGCAATGCTTCCAGCCTAGAGCCCACAGTGATCATCTTGGAATGCAACTCCACGGAGATAGAGGCTGGTAACTGCACCTGAGGGTGCTACAGCCTTAGCTTCTGAAGACCCAGAAAAGAAAGTTCCTGCCTCCAAAGTCCTTGGCATGGTTCAGTGGCTCAACATCAGAAACTGCTATGATTTTATCAGTACAAATGACATTAAAGAAGAAGCATTACCACCCACTTTACTGCTATTCTATTCCCCTAAGGATCACATGACCTTTTCCATCTGATTTGCAGCTGAAACTTTTTTTTCTTTTCTTTTTTAGGCAATTGGGGTTAAGTAACTTGCCCAGGGTCACACATCTAGTAAGTGTCAAGTGTTTGGTCTGAGGTCGGAACTGAACTCAGGCACTCCTGACTTCAGGGCTGGTGCTCTATTCACTGCACAGTTGTTGTTTTTTTTTAATGGTGGCAAAGAACTGGGAACTGGGCGGGGGGGGGGCGGGAAACTCCATCAACAGAGGAATGGATGAATAAATAATATATGTATATGAATGTGACAGAATACTATGGTGCAATAAGAAATAATGAAGGGGATAGTTTCGCAGAAACTTGGGAAGGGCTGTAAGAACTGAACCAGGAGAATAATTTATACAATAACAACAATTTTGTAAGACAAACAACTCTGAAATACTTAGGAACTTTGATCACAATTACCAACCACAATTTCAGAAGACTTATGATTAAACACACTACCCAGATCCTAATTAAAGAGGTGATAGATTCAAGAGTGCACACTGAGACATTTTTTTTGATGTGGGGAGGGCAGGGTGTGGAACATAGCGTTGCTGTTTTGCTTAACTATTCATGTTTTTAACAGGGTTTTTTTTTTCTTGCTTCCTCAATGAGGGGGGGAGAAAGGAAAAAGTGGGAGGGAGAGAAATCATATCTTCATGAAAATAAAATACAATTTAATTTTTCAAAAGATGACTATAAGGTTGACTCTGCACAAACATCAATTGTTTTCTACCAACCCTATAGCAATTTTTATAAATGGTACTTACCGTTCAGGTGATTCTTCATAAATACTATGACACTCTGTATTTTCAAGCATGAGACTTCTACTAAGGTTTTGTACCCCTGGATAATGGAAATTAGCAAAGGAGTGTGACATTGGAGAAGTTTTGTTTCCAAGATCTGAGATTCGTTTATCATGATTAGTTAGACCACAAGTTAACCCATCTAAAGCAGGATTCAGAGAGCGTGTCATGTAAGCATCAGCTGACTGAGGCCTTCTCATTGGGGATGAAGGATAAGGGGAAAGTTTGCTGATAAGAGGAGTAAGAAGATCAGCATATGCCGCTTTTGTAGGTTTCAAAAGTTTGTCAACATGAATATTCAGCATCTTTTGTTCAAAAGCACAAGAGAAGACAGTAGGTGGAAGATTTTGAAGCCATGACAATAAACTCAAGTCCAAATCATCACAACCATTACCACATAAAAGGTCAATGCCAAGAAGTACTTCACTTTCTGTGATTTCTTCTCCAGTTGCTTTACTCTGACAAAATTCGACACAACATTCATAAAGTAGTCCCTTCATTACAAGCTGAAATAAACGATTATTACTTGCTTTAAAACCAGCTTCACTTAGCTTCCTGTCAGCAGGGATGAACTCTGCTACCATAACACAAGCCTCTTCGAAACAGTGAACTCGTGCAGTGCTGGGGTTCCAGTCCTTGAATTCTGCATGATTAGTCAGGCGAGGCAAAGTAAGTAACAGACAGAGTTTGCTATAGTCATCTTTAGAAGGGCAGTACTCTTCTAATGCATGGAGGCATTGCACAGCTTCTTGCATGGTAAATTCCAACTGTAAAGAAAAAAATACTAAAATTGACCATTCTTACAAAGGATACTACTATGGGATCACAAACACAGGACAGAATTTCTTTTTCAAATACAAGATTTTGTCAAACTTGACTTTATAGTCTTTTAACTACAAAGGTACACAAGATATCATCGTATTATATGAAAAATATAAATCTTCATATGAGCAGCTAAACTCCACTCCCCCTACCTCCCTGATCAAAATTTTCAATATAAGCCTCCTGAAATAACAATCTTTGTGGAAGTTAGTACATATTAAACTCTAAACTACAGGAAAGAATAAAGCCACTCAGTAGGATTGACAGGCATATTAAAATACCTGAGCAAATTCAGGGCTCTGTGTGTATGTGTATCAGAACTTGAAGATTTTTGATTATTTGTAGGATCTTGAAGTTGCCAAATCTTGAAAAATGAAAGCTGAATTACCAGGAATTCTAGCAGGATGACTGCAGTAGGATAGATCTCATTAGTGAAAGATGGAGCCTTTGAAACTGAGAGAGTTAATAATGAGGCTGTTTTGGCTAGCTGATAAAAAGCGTTAGTTTTTTGGTTCTACATCTTGCAAGAAGGCAGTAATTGTTCTTATCCAGAGCTATTTGAGTAAATGAACACTTAGATGATGCAGAGTGAAAGGCAGTATAACAATTTATACTATAATGACATTGTAAAAAGATTTAACTCTGATCAGCTCAGCGTTCAACCATGATTACAAAAGGATTGTGATGAAGCTTCTCATCTCCTGACAGAAAGGTCAGAGATTAAATATGTAGAATAAGACAAAATTTTGGCCATGAGCAATATATGTTGGTCAATGTAGGAATTTGTTTTATTTACTATATACTTTTGTTACAAGGATTTTGTCTTTTTCTTTCTGTCTTTTTTCAGTGGGGTGGGAAGTGGCAGTGAGAGAAAGTAAGTTGCTTGTTAATTAAAATATAATTGAAAAATAAAAAATGAATTTGATAAAATTAAATATGTCATATATAACAAAAAAAGAAAAGTGAAAGTTGAAGAATGACAAATCTGAAGTAGTACAAAGCTAAATGCTTACTTGGGCTTACTATTCAACTAATTATATTACTTAAATCAGACCAGATGGCCATTCAGGTACTTGTATCTATTTCCTATCACCTGATAATGGAGTTGTGAGATACATGGGTAGCCCATTCACATAAAGGGTATAAACCTACAGAGGGACTCCACACCCTCTATGTGAGACTCCAGATTGTGGCCCTAGGGTAATCTGGTGGGGAGCCAAAGAAAGCAAACCCAGAGACCCTCTTTTGACTAGGTATTGCATAAAGAAGGACAGGAAAATCTAGAGAGGATAAGATAATGGTTAGACAAATGAATGAATGACTCTTTAAAGAAGCATTTATTAAGTCCTTACTATACACTAAGACTGCTGAGCACTAGGGATACAAATAGAAAAAGTGAGAAAACCCCTGACATCAAGGAACTTATATTCTAATGGGGAGAAAACATAAACAACTATGCACATACAAGATCTATAATGGTGTAAAAGGGAGACAGTCTCAGAGAGAAGGCTCTGGTGGGGGGGATTGACGGGAGCATATAGAAAGGCCTCTTGCAAAAGTTGAGATTTCAGCTGAGTCTTGAAGGAAACCAGGAAATCAAAGATGCAAAGGAAAGGAAGAAAAGGGTTCTAGGCATGAAGAGCAAGCCAGTGATCAAGGCTGGGAATCTGGAAATGGAGTGTCCTATACAAGGAAAGGCAAGAAGTCAGTTTTGCTAAATCACTGAGTATGTATAGAGAAGTAAAATGTAAGAAGACTAAAAAGATAGAAAGGAATCAGGTTGTGAAGGGTTTTAAAACCCAAAAAGAGGATTTTATACTTGATCCTGGAGGTTACAGGAACCACTGGAATTTACTAAGTGAGGGCAAGTGAAGATGACATGATAAGACCTATACTTTAGGAAAATCATTTTGGCAGCTAAGTGGAGAATGAAATAGAATGATGACAGAATTAAGGCAGGGAAAGCAACCAAGTAATTTTAACAATCCAGGTTTGAGCCTGAACCTGCATGTTAGCTGATAAGGAATGGATGGTTTGTTCCTCATCAGCAGCTACGTAAGTAGAGAGAAGGGATTTATAGGAGAGATGTTATGAAACTATAAGACTTGGCAACTGATTGGATTTCTGGGGTGAATACAAGTAAAGAGTACAGGATGAAACCTACTTTGGGAGCCTGGGTGACTAGGAAGATGGTAGTACCTTTAACAATAGGAAAGTTTAGAAAAGGGAGGATTTGGGGGAGGAAGATACTATGATCTGTGGTGCACATGCTATTCTATCTTGGAGGTTCTGACTCAAACCACCATTTCACAAGAAACTGAAAAATATAGACTATACTTTCATAATTTGTTTATGAAATAACATGTGATTTGGAAGAACACAACACCACTTTACAGGCTATTTTTAAACAAGGTGTCTTGTCCATACATTAAAATCATTTCAGATTCCTTAAAAGATGTAACAAATAACTGTGTTTTTAACCCTCCAACAATAAACATCAAACAAAAAGCATAAAGCAGGAAGATATATATATATATATATAACAAAAATGCCTATAATTGTGATGGGGGAGATCCTGCATGGAGTCCAAGTTGAAAGAGATTCCCTGTGGCTAGTCCTGATACTCCTACTTACAGATGAAATTGTGATGATTGCATCAAATCCCAAAATACTACAGAAACTCTTGGAAAAAATAATCACTCAAAAGAGTCTGACCTGATCAGCAGACACTCTGGAAAGACCAAAAAGATAAAACTGTCTACGGCCCAGATTACAAATAAGCATTTGAATGGGCAACCTAGAGAGACTGTCCATCAGTAGATGCATATGTACATATGTATGTATGTATGTACATATATGTGTTGAGAGAAATTATTATTTCACTCTGGAATTAATAACTAATTACTGTATTTGGACCAAGGTTTTTCCCCTTTTCTGCTCCCTCATCCAGAAATCAAGAAGTATGAGAAATCTTTTTAAAACACCCAGCCAGGATGAAAGAGATCTAATCAAAGACAGTAAAAGAAATTCTAAGTATAGGCTAATGGATGGATTCCTCCTCATTTCGTTTACTCAGACAGGTCTGGGAAAATGTGGATTCTTCCTCTGGTCAGGCAGGTGATATGGAAACTGCCATCTCTTTGACTAAGATTTGAGTGACTCAAGTCACGTACCCCAAGGCCCTCATTGTAATATAGGCCATCCTCTCATTGTAATATTCATTATCTTATTAATTGTTAACTCATCAGAGTTGCTTATCACCCTCAGGAACAATTACTCTTCAAAAGGCATATTAACTGTGAGCCCATCGTCATAAGGGGTCTTTGGTCTAAGAGGAATGGCCAAATGAACACCCTCTTATTAAAATGGCATTATTAATAAAATTATTAAATTACCCAGAAATTATGTCTCTCAGAACTTTTTTAAATACCACAGAGTGTATATCTAGTGCAAATAATACATATTAGGTCTGGAGCTAACCAGGAGGAAGACAGACCGAACTGTCTTTGGGATACTACAAAACTCCTTTAAGGCTCCAAGCTTGTCATAAAAGCAAAAGCCTATCTTTTTATATCAATAGTCTATCACATGTTGCCATACCACAGCATAACATGAACTACAACTGTCTCTAGAAAATTAAAAACAAGTATCATACAGAGGATAATGGAAAGTCAAATGGTGGGTGTGAGCAAGTTGCAACATACAATTTGTGGGAAACACTGAAAAACATCAGGATTAAAAGACAGCATCACAGGAAGAGATGATGGCCTGGTCACATTGTGAGGGTGAGGAATGATTGGCAGAGTAATCCAATGATACTACCCTTGTGATGTCAGGAAAAATTGAGGAAGATCTGTAATATGTTGAAAGAACCCCCTGGTTCAAATGCATTGAAATCTGCATAGTTGGAGGGAACTTTCAAAATGATGAAATCACAGATCCACTTGAGTATATAGCCTACTATCTACTCTGGCCTTACATCAAAATTGAATTAGACATCCATTCAGATCCTCATAAAGATTTTCTTTTTCTGTTCTTGAAGGAAGAACACAACATTAGAGAGACTTTAGAACCCACCTAAGTTCAGTCCCCTCATTTAACAGCTAAGGAAATTAGGGACTAAAGAGGTAAATAAATGGCTTACTCAAGATCACACAGTTTAATCAATGACAAAGTCAAGACTAGAACCCATATCTCATGACTCCCAGAGTCCAGTGCTCTTTTCACTATACCACAGGATATAATCACTCTATTTACAAGTCTTCCTTTTTTCTGCTTAAGTCATCCAAATCACCTATGTGACTTGTTATGTATTTTAAACCTTTAAAAAAGCAACCTTCAGTAATGGACTGACAGTCTACTAAAGTAGCCTAATCATGGCACAGAAGTGCCTTTGGGTTCTCAATGGCATACTACAAAAGAATGAACTCTGGAAGGCCATACCAAGATAGAAAGCCTCCAGGTACAGGCCTGGCAACCAACTCTATGGCTACTGACCAAGGGATCAGCCTTGCCACCTTGAGAAAGACTAATCACCAAGTTGACTTCAGAATGATAAATCTTCCACCTTCAGAGATTCACAAGGGACACTAAGTCATAGATCAGCCATGATTTACAGCAGAAGAGTGAATACCTATAAAGATGAAATCGTTGATCCTCAAACTAAAAATAGCATTCAGTAAAGAAGCTATGTCAAGGACTGAGATAGGGGAGGACTCCATGAAGAAAGAAAAGTCATCAGGGTCTTGCAGTACTATGGCTGAGAACTGTTTTGAAAGCACACAACCCCTACATGTGTGCCTTACCACCACTGTACTCTGTGCCTACTCTTCTCACACATGTTGTGTGTATTTTTTGGAGACTGTGATCCTAGTATATGGGGTAGCTGTTATTTTTACTATATCATCCTAATAAAAGCCTTTGCTAAGAGCTAAATGTTTAGCAGCATCCCTGATAAGGAGAAGTATACCAATGGGGATTTGAGGGCAACAGGAAAGGAATGGATATCCAAAGGGGTACCCTCCTTACTTAAAACTTAAGTCGAAGATAACCTCTCTGTGAACCAACCTACCAGTGAAACTGCAAGATGACAGAATATCCCAGGTGGATTACACACAGCACAAAAGTACACCTGATTATAGGGGCAAAACTCTCTCCACTAAAATCCTACTGCAATGTCTCATTTTGGGTTCTTGAAAGCTATTAAAGCAAGAACAGATTAAGTTGAGAAAACAGGATAAAAGTTAGAAGAGAAGGGAGAGCAGAAGGTTAAAGAGGATGTGTTTGCACATGTGAAAAAGATTACCTGAGATAGAATTAACTAAGTTGATAATGGTTAGAACATGGTTTATGTATGACGGCCTTATTCAGGAAGAAAGAAAGTGGCTGGGGGAAAGACATTAAGTCTCTGTGAATGTTTTCAGAGGAAAGCAGCAAGAAGAAGTAATGTTCATAGGTACAGTATGTTCATAAACTGTGTATCAGTACTCAGGGAATACCTGTATTTACACAAAGTCATGCTCAACCCTTTCAATGCCTAGGCACCAAATCTTTCCCAAATTAATGTTGCTATCAATTATGAAGGCTCTGGATGACAGACATTGCAGGGTTGAAACAAATAAATCTGCAAGGCAGACAATCGGGAATTAAAAAAAGGTCACCTATGATTATCATACTTTCAATTTTTGGAACATCTCTTATTTAAACATCTGTTCATGTTTTAACTACTTGTTTATATTCACTTAAATGTAGTATTAGTCCAATGGAAACATTAAAGGAAAAAAGTCTGAAGTTATCTCCTTGTGCAATAGAGCTGGTAAGGCTGTACTATTAGCCAAATCTTTAAAAAAAAACAAAACCACACAGGTTCTCTGCTAATCTCTAAAAAAAAGATATAAAACAAACTTAGAGAAAAGAGAAAGTTTAATCTATTTAGTTTGAAGGTGATGCTAATTCATTTTTAATACAGAATAAAAGAAGGGAAAGATAGAAACCATATAATAGAGTTCCTCTTGAGTTGGGTTCAAACAAGATAAGAAATTAACAAATTAAATTCTATGATTCAAAAACAAACTATATTCAAATTAAGGGGGAAAATACATTCCAAAATTATGTTTTTTAAATTATTTGCTATTTTGGATTATCGATGACATTATTTCCCCCACTGGCACAGATAGTGAAAGTGTGATTTTACTTTATATTCATTCTTCAGTCTATAAACATTTCTTGATCACTTATTATGTTCAAGGAATTGTATGAGCAGATAAAGGGAATACAAAGGGACATAAAATACAATCTTACAAGCTTACAGTATAATAAGAGAGATAAGTAATATACAAATGATTACAAGTTAATATATTGATTGCCATATGAGTAGGATTCCTTTTCTTTAATTTAATATTGCCATGACTTTTTTCAAAATACGATTACACAAAAGACCTTTAAAGTTTTTGAGACAAACTCTTAAAGAATTTAATATACTGTAACATACATCATACAAAGAGTATTGAGAATGTAATGGAGCCAGAATAAGAATATATTTGCATTAAATGTCTATGATAAAAATCTGACATCCAAAATCTAAAGGGAGCTAACACAAATAGTCAAAGTTTTTAAAGGAATACTTTTTGAAAGCAACATAAACACACTGGAAAAAGTGTTCAATATCAATAACCAACAGAAAAACGTAAATGAACACAGCTCAGTTATTGTCCTATACTCATCAATTGGAAGAGGATAAAAGATAAAAATTTTGAGTCACTTATTCTACTATTATGTTTATATCCTAAAGAAATTTTCAAAAGCAGAAAATTACTATCTGTTTTTTAAAAGTTCATAGCTGCACAATTTGTAATAGTAATAGACTATAATGCAATATTATTACAGTTATGGAACAATGACTAAAAAGAATTCTAAGAAATGTTCAAAGACATGAAGCAATGCAGAGTAAAGAAAGAATATACATGCTGACTACAACTGTCAATGGAGACAAAATTTAGATATTATCTTGATAAGGTTAAAGGACATAGCCTCTCTTTCTTCTAAAATTAAACAGCTAGATATGAAACTATTTGTAATTCTCTTTTGTGTTGCTCAAATGTTTTCAAGGACTATACTTTTTATTTTAAGATAAATTTATTAATCAAAATATCATTAAAACAATGAAACTTCTATAAAATATAAAATCTTCTATGGGTAGAATTTTCATATGGCAAGATGGAGGACAGTATAACAGTTGGTGAAAATTAGGCAGGGCATAAGACATGTTTGAGAAAAAATGGGAAGGGAAATTTAGCTGAAGTAAATATTTCATGCAGGAAAGTAGTAAGAGATACATATGTTAAAAGTAAGTAGGGGTCATATTATAGCAGACCTTGAATGTCAGATTAATAATAACGATAGCTAATAACAGCTAGCATTTATATACTGTTGTAAGGTTCACAAGGCACTGTACCAATGTAATCTCATTTGATCCTCACAACAAACCTAAGAAGTAGGTGCTATTATTATCCCCACTTTACAGATGAGGAAACTGAGGCAGACAGCGTTTAGCTGATATGCCCAGTGTCATACAGTGCTCATAACAAGTTTCTAGGGCTAAATTTGAACCCAGGTCTTCCTGAATCCAAGTTCAAAGCCACATCCATTGCACCACTTAGCTGCCTCTTTGAGAAGATTAAGAAATTTGGATTCTGTCCTATAGGGAAAGGAAAACAACTAAAGTCTTTTTAGTAGAAGAATAAGATGATGAAGCAAAGAGATTAAAAAAATTAATCTTCTAGCAGCATACAGGATGAAGAAGGAATAACCCGGAGCACAGAGAATATGGAAGCTAATGTAACAATACAGATGTGACATAATGAAAGTCAATGACATCTAGCCTTCCTCCCCAAAAATTCATTCCACACATGGCCAACAGATTATCTTGCTAAATCAAAGTTCTGATTATGTCATGCTATTTCTAAAAATGTTCCAGGTGATCCCCACTGTCTACCAAATTAAGTCCTAGTTCTTTTATCTGGTATTCAAGGTCCACTACAATGTGACCACCACTGCTCCCTTTAATATACACTACACTCCGGTCAAATAGAACTATTTATCTTTCCCTAAATATGCCTTGGGTTTTCCCTTAACCTATGAACCTTTGTTCATCCCATTCTTTCACCCTATGACGCCTTCTCCCTTCTATCTCCACTAATGGAATGTCTACACATCATCAACCTTCTATGAACGTCACTTTCACAGCATTGATTATATGTTGCATTACTTGTATATATATCTTTTACAGACTTTAAAGGTAAGTATAGTTTCATTTTTTATCTCTGACTCTTCAGTGTCTTACATAAATAAATATTTTTTAAATTAAACTAAATGGTTTATTATTAATGAATCTATCTCTAATAAAAATCACTACAGAAACTGGCATTACTGGTAATCTTGACTTAAACCTTTTAGCAGGTTATATGTACCACTTAGAAAAATAGTGGAAGGTATTACAACTGATGCTACTAATACTCTGCTTTAATGAACAAAACCCCAAAAGATAAGACCATGGCGCAAACCTTCAGAAATAAAAGTCTTACATGCTGAGGTTCATCTTCGGCTGACATTGCATTGTTTACGCACAAGGCTTCTAAAAATTTTTGTTTCAAGATGATATACCGAAACCTGTAAACAAATAAAGCATGACACACTAAAAATCATTAAAAATGACCCTGAAGAACATCTATCTACTAATTTCAAATATGAAAAAAGGAACTAGCTCCTAAAGTTATAGAAGCCATGTTTTTTAAAAAATGATTTCTTTAAAAAGACTTTTATTTAAAGGATAGGTTTTCAACCAAATACCTGATAAGTAAAATACGCCTAAAACTTACTGAATGTAATTTAGATCCTCTACGTTTCTGTTTATACTCAAGTCCTAATCAGCTGTCGCAGTGATTTTTGCTATTGTTAATCAGTAACACCACACTCAAGGGATGGCCCTCTTAATTTCCAAAATAAACTCTAAATAAAAAGTTTCCCTGTAAAATGTCAAGCAACATAAAATATATCATAAATACCTAAATATGAGTTTAAAAAAAAACACATTGTTTTTTCTTAATTATAAGCATGAGCAAGGTCTGACAGGGACCTATTTTATAAAGAGATGGCAGTACTGCTAAGAGGGAATGAGACAATGCCTTTTCAGAAAAATAAGCATGAACCTGGGAAAGCAATCATTGAAAATTGCAACTTTTAACATATGGCAGAATTTGAAAAGGACATTTGTCTTACAAGAAAATTTCAAGTTTTGGGGCAGGTAGGTGGAGCAGTGGATAGAACACTGGCCCTGGAGTCAGGAGGACCCGAGTTCAAATGTGACCTCAGACACATAACACTCACTAGCTGTGTGACTCTGGGTAAGTCACTTAACCCCAATTGCCTTCCAAAAGAAAAAGGAAAAAGAAAAAGAAATTTCAAGTTTTTAAAATTTTAAACACTTTAAAGAAAAAAAAAAGATTTCCTATTTGTTTTCTTTTCAAGAGTTATATACTTTTACTTGTCCTCTCTCCCAGAGTTTTCCTTCAGTTAAAGAAGTACTCTCAAGAGATGTCAATAGCCAACAAAAAATAAAAACAAAACAGTATTGCTACTGCTTTTAAAATTGGTACTGCAGGCCTCTAACCTTGGTCTCTAGAGATAAGGAATCTTCTTATCAAATGCTGCCACCATGAGATGCTTATAGCTCCAAGTATAATGCTTCTTTCCCTTACCAATTTCATTTTAGTTTAAGCAAGGCTACTTGAATTTACAAAGGGGAAAAGTGTAATTTCAGAAATAATAGCTATTTAATTACAAGTAATCAAAAACATATAAAAAGGTATGTTTAGTGTAGATTATGTGGTTCTATTACTTTATTATCTAGTACGAAATCCCCATGTTGAGTCCTCTGCCAACCTGTCTCCAACCCAAAATAATACCCTAGGTGTCCTGTTTCCATCTCTGTTCTTGTAATAGTCTTCTTACCCTATATATGCCAAGTTCTTTTTTCCTCTTTATCTATTTGTCTCCATTATTAAAAAAAAAAACTGCCAATAGGCTAGATCTCCTCCAACCTTGAGCAAGTAATAATCTAATCCCTTTTTCACCTCTTTCAAACACAGTATTGCAACAGGTCATTAAGATCATTCATTAATCCTTTTACTCTTTACTTTTATGGGGATTATTTTGTTCAAATGACTTCTTCCACATAATCCAATTCAAATAAAATGAATCCACAGCTCTATCCCTATCACACTAAAGGTAGTGACCTGCCCCTTCCTGCAAAGGAAGGTATTACATAATTCAGGATAAAACTTTATAGCTGACCAGTCTGTAATCCTGAAGTCATACTATTATCCATCCTACTCAAGGTCAGAAAAACTACTTTCCCTTTTATTTACAAGACAGTATATGGGTAATATTTACTCTCACGTGATGATGAGCTGGCTCAACTATACTCCTCTCAACCAAGCCCCTTTTGGGACTATGTGGCTGAGCTTATGCCTAAGCATTTCACTGTCACCCTATGAAAGTGCTAAGGAGTGTCAACAGGCAATCACAACGTCATGAGACTTATGTGAAAACCAGGTTTATTTAACAAGAGAAATGAACATGCATGTGGAACCCAAAAGGCTCTCATTCTTTACAAAAGTCTACACTTTTATAACAGGAGTATGATATGGAAGGGGGAATGGTACAACAAAAAGGTGGGAAAAAAGACAAGACCACTGCCCATGGGAAGGAGCAGGGTGATGGCAAAAGCCTCACTCTTTTCCCCTGGGAACCAGCAGACTAGGAAGATAGGAGGGTCTGCTTATCTGCAAAGGACTCCAGCTGCACAAGCATTACCCCAGCCTAGCACAAACTAGCTGGCCCTGTCTTGCCCCCTAAGGACACACAGGGAGTCCAGCTGGGGGAGCAACAACAGATTATGTCAGCTCAGGGGAATCTTTGTCCTGGACACATTCAGGGTCTCCTGCATGCTCCAGGTTCAGTGTTTCTTGAAAATATGGCAACTCGGGGCAGCTAGGTGGCACAGTGGATAGAGCACTGGCCCTGGATTCAGGAGGACATGAGTTCAATTCCGGCCTCAGACACATAACACTTACTAGCTGTGTGACACTGGGCATTGCCTAGCCAAAAAACAAAAGAAAGAAAGGAAGAAAATATGGCAACTCAAAAAGACAAGTTCAAGGGACCCCTTATAGAAGTCCTTAACAGGAAAGAGAATAATCTTCCTCTCTCAAAAGACGTTCCTAAAATAGATTTACAACAGTCAACTGAGAAGGGAAAATAAGAAATGAATGCTCTTCTACGATTCAGATAAAATAATATTGTAATAAACTATGTAATATTCCACAAGCTATTTTAGACTAAAGAACAATAGCTATTCTAGATAAGCACTATGAAATATACTATATTTTTAGATAGGAACATCATTGATTAAACATTTTTATGTGCACAGTACAAAACCAGGCAAAATATTATTTTAAAATAGATATGATATTTGTCCTCTAAGAATATTCAAACTCAAAAATGGTATGACTTTTAAGAATAAGCCTGATCCTATTTCAGACGGGAAAGGAGGAGCAGAAGGGGGAAGAGATGGTTTGAGGAGGCTAAACAATTAGCAAAGATTAAATGTAAAACTTTAAATGAAATCTTACCTTTTTGTGTCAAATTTTTCCATACATTCTAGGGGCTGAATGAATTGAAGAACTTCATCCCATTGGCCATCAAGGATTAGTTGTCTATGTGAATTTTTTAAAAAATGAAACACCCACATATTTATCTTAGTAATCAACATTTACAAATTTTACTTGCAATATTTAAAAATAGGAAAGGTGACAAGATGGCTTTATGAAGTTAATACTCTGCTAAGTCAGATAATAAGATGGGCATTTCTTTTGCTACAAGATATTGAAGTAAAACCTAAGTCTTTTCACAATAATTTTTAAACGTGGGCACTTCCAAAAAATCATAAACTATGGAAATATTAATTCTCACTAATAATCCTTTAATAATAGCTGCTTCCAATGTATTTATTATGTTCTTAGTAATCTGTACTTCTTTTATGGATTTACATATTATTGGATTATAATTATTATCTGTGTTATGTCATATCCCTCAGGTAGAATGTAAACTCCACGAAAGCAAGAACCATGTTTCATCTAAACTTTATAACTCATCCATATCTAATGACGTTCTGACAAAGTAGGCATTTAATAAATGTTTGGAACTGAATTAGAATATATTTAAGTATCAGATAATTCCCATTTGTTCTGTGTATCTGTGCCCAATTATACACAAAAACCATATCCAGATGTCCTATGCTTGACCCAGCCAGAGGACATGAGAGATAGCTGGTAGCCTGTCCGCACTTACAAACAGATGCCCTTCAACTGAGGTCAACCTCTGTCATAAAGATGCCCCATCTGAGATTCAGTGCTAAAGACTTGCCACAGGTTGCACTGGTACTGGGTGGTTCAGTTAATACCTCAACTCATAGAAGCACAGAAACAATTATTATCTTGACATCTACAGAGGAGGCAGTTGCTGGGCCACATTTTAAGATAGATGTGAGCCTAAACTTCTAAAAGCATAATCTTACTTTCTGCCAACCCAGCAATTCTGTGAAACACATTCTCTTATTTATTTGAGACTTGCAACAGTCTATCCTTCTAAACCTTTGACCTATGTATCTCTGACACCTATTCACTCGGAAGCTAGCAAAAGCTTCCCAGGGATTTAATCTTTCTAAATCTGGGTGGGTGCATTGTTTGAGAATCAGTGCTTTACAGGAAAAATTCCCTGTCCTTATTGAATGCGTTGGCAAAGGTTACTGAACTGCACCTTTAAGCAGCCTCCCTGGGCTTAGGCAATGTTAATTAGATGCCATCAAATATATGAAAATTCAAATAAATCTTAGTAAATATTTTCCTAACATAATAAAGCTCTTTAAAGTACTGTTTGTTCCTCAGGAAGGACAATGCACGGCTAAGTTTTTTTGATCTACAAAGCACCATGTGTTTTTTAATCGAATCTCTTAAAGGATAGCTGATTAGGAACATAGGATCTTTGAGATTAAGAAAAATGAGACCAACAGAGGTTAAGTAACTTTCCCAATCGGGATGTATACAAAGTAGAAAGTCCATTTTAATGTAGAATTATGAACTCTCTTTTTACATTCAATTCAAGACAGACTTATTTTTGACCTGAAGATGACTCCAGTTTCTTGTAGCTCTGCTGTTCTTCCAAAGCTACAGTAAAATTAACAATTTGGCTTTTAAAAATAATGCCTGGACTTCATGATTACTAGACATATCTTTCCCTTAAGTTCCATAACAAATACTATTAGATATAGCTTACATAGATTTTCCACATCTTGGCTAAATGATCAAATAAGATAATGTAGATAAAAGCATTTTGCTCTAACTCAACTCAAATGGTTTTATGATAACAATTTGGATATTCCCTCCATTACACATTGCAATCCATCCTTATCTGTATGTCTCTTGTCCAAGTTCTCCCATTAAGTTTACCACAGGAGTTTACAAAACTTAAAATACCCTCTAAATGTTGGTTTGTATTATCTTTTATCCTCAAGGAATGAATCATCTTCAATAGCAAAGTTTTCTCCATTAGGGAAAACCATGTTGGATAAAAATCTTTATAAAATATATTGTAAACTTATATGCCTTAGAAAAAATATAACTTTTCTTTAATGACTTGAGGTCATTAAGAATATCAGCTATTGTACTGTATTACAATAAAATGATATCCAAAAGGCCTACGGAAGCCATCTATTAGACAACCAACAAATAGCAACATAGTAAAAATTTTACTGATAAGCATGCATGTATTCTTCAACAGTATCTACCATAATATGAGAAAATAGGCAGCATAGTACAAGAAGAAAGTTTAAGTTTCATCTCTAGTTTATTGTTACATGGGGCAACAACTGTAAACTTTACTTCTCTAAATCTTAAATTTCCTCATCTGTAAAATAAGAGAGTTAAATTATCTCTAAGGCCTCTTCTGCATTTAACATTCTATAACAATGAATTAATGCCTCATGCCTATAAATTTATTAATTCTTAAAATATTTCTGTGATGAAAATTAAAATCTGAGAAATTAATAAAGACATACCTCAGAAAAAGCATATCATCTGAAAACAGGCCATTTATGACTCCACTTTCCTTCTCAAGAGCCAACATACTGATGTGAAGTTTCTTTGAGTTCAGAAAGTCTAAGATTAACTTGATAATTTCAACCTCTTTCACGTTGACTGTTTCTTCAGCAGTCATTGTTGATAGCCTTCATAACAAAAAGAAAATCAGAGACAAAATACTGATCCTATTACTTTATTTTGCTGTACCGAGAAATCAGCAAATGAGATCCAGACGTAATTTAAGACGTGGATTTATTAGCGCACGGCTGCCAGGGGTATGCACATCCAAATCAAGCAGCCCCCATCAGGGGCTGAGCTAGGGTTTGATGCCAGGAACACTGATGAGGTAATCCAAAGATGCAGGTGTCTTTGGGGGCTATGGATGGGAAAGTACAGGGAGTATACAGGACAGGGAGGGGGATGGATCTTTGGAGTCTGGCAAGAGGAAGAGTTCTTGGGCTGGTCAAGGACACCCCTCTCCCTTTGTCTTGATGAGAGAATGCTCTGCAACAAGGGAAAGCTTTCTCACAACACAGGAACTTACTGAGGAATTGGGAGGCTTCCAGAGACATCATCTGAGGGCTGGGGCCTGAGCAGCCCAGCTCTGTGTAGCTGTACCAGGGAGAGAGATAAGGGTCATGCTGAGGCCCATGCATGAATAACTGCTAGGCACAGTGTCCTTGGGCTGGGGAATGGTTGTTAGAGACAGTGTTTCTGAGACTAGGGAGAAATTGGGGCACAAGCACAAGCACCCGAGCACCCCATTATTACGGGTCAGAGATCACACAAACCAGACCAGGTGTCCTGGGCTCTGGTATAAACACAATTATCTAAAGCAATTACATTGCAAGCTTTCTTATCCATTTGCATTGGAACTAGGGGCTAGGCTGAGCTATGCAAGAGTACATTTCACTATTGTTTAGATTTAGGAGGAAAGAGGTCTGGGGCAAGATTAAGCACCAACTTTTGTTTTCCATGGCTTAAAGGGCCCTAATGTTCTGTATTACAATTTCTAAATTACACTGTACAGAAACTGTGCTAACAAAATTACTTGAGATTTTACAATACAACTTTTAAAAGTTATTTTAAACCATCGATTTAACCAAATTAAAGAATTATAAAAAAAATTGCCTACCCGACCATTTATTGTCTACATAAATTAAATTAAATATACTTCCCTCTATGAGTTTATAATTTAAATTATAATCCTTTATTTAAGTATCAAACTAGGTTGAAGTCAGTTCAGATATATAGGGTTTGAAATGCTGGTGGGACTTTAAGTGAATTGTCCTGTAGACTACTTACACGTGGGTCTGGCGTTTGGGAGCTGAGACAGAAATAAAGATGTACAATCTTAGGTCATACAAATATTGCCAATAGGAAGTATCAAATAATTTTTTTTATTTGAATTCCTCTTTGATGGCCATAAGTGAAATTGGTTGAAAAGTATGTTGAAAACTATGATTTTGGAGTTGAGAATAAGAGGCCAAAGCCTTGTATAATTACACAGAAATTCTTACTTTTGTATGTCATGAATGTTTTATTTAGGAAAAGTATCAGAAGGTGCAAGATATGGAAATCCCTCAATAACATTACATAAAAATGAAAATGATTATATTTCAACAGAAACAACTACTGATAAATCATGATTAGAATGAATAGAGTGGCCCCTGGGGCTCCCTAGGCCCTCAGGGCCCCTGATTTCCTTCAACCATCATTTTGTCCAGCCCAGCCCAGATCTGCAATCTGTTTGAGTTTTGTGACCAAAGCCAGGCCAGGATCTCTTGCACAGCCATGGCTCTCACCCTTGAGGTCAGAGTATTGGGGTGGGTTTGCAGGTAGCTGCCAGCATCTCTAGTCTCTGCATCTCCCTACAAGGATATCACCCCATAATATCACTGGTCCTCTTCAAAAACGAAGGACAAACAAGGCCAGTAACTGCTTCCTAATCCTTCCCCCTCCTGCAGCCCAGTGCTTAAGGACAGTAGGACTTCCATTTTGTACAGATGTGACTTTCCAATTGTCAACTCAATAAATTCTATAGAATGGATTAAATTTTTTTTATTAAGGATTTACTAAGTTCCTACTACTACATGCCAGGCACTGTGCTAGGCACTAAGGATATAAAAACAAAAAATGAAACAATTTTGGCTCTCAAGAAGCTTAAATTCTATTGGAGAGACAACTTGTAAATTTATATGTATGTGTATAAATATGTATATATTAAATAAAAAAGGAGGGTAGCACTAGCAATGTGAGAGCTAAAACAAAAGGTTTTATGTAGGAGGTGGCATTTGGCCTGAGTCTTGAAGGAAGTGGGGGAATCTATGAGGTAGAGGTGAGGAGGAAATGCAAGCAGAGACAGGAGATAGAATACTCATATATAGGGAATAGAGAGAAGGCCAGTTTGGCTGGACTGCAGCATGAGATAAGGAGAATAACATATAATGAATCTAGATAGATAGGTTAGGGCCAGGTTGCAAAGGGCTATGAAAGCCAAACAAAGGAGCTTACTAGGAAGCAAGAGAGAGCCACAGAACGTTAAGAAGGGGAGTGATATGGTTAGATCTGCCTTTAAGAAAAATAACTACAATCTTTCCTTTGTGTTGCCTTCTCTCCACTCCCACAGCTACCACCCTAGTTCACCCCATAATCACATCTCATCTAGATTACTGCTACAACCTTCTTACTGGCCTCCCTGCCTCAAGTCTCTTCTCCAATCCATCCTCTATATTGTGGCCAGATTTTCCCAAAGGGTAGATTTGACTGTTTCATCTCCCAATTCAGTAAACTGTAATGGTGGCTAATACCTCCAAGATAAGACATAAAGTCTTTTATTTGTCACTTAAAGATCCTCACAATCTAACCCACTGCTACCTTTCCAGTCTTCTCACATTCTACCTCTTTACCTGCCCCACTCCCCTCTTCAAACCAGCTACAACGGCCTACCTGTTCCTCAAACACCATACTCTACCTCTTGCCTCCATGCCTTTGCATTAGCTGACAGTCCCCTATTACTTGAATGTTTTCCCTTTTCACCTAGGCCTCTCAGTTTTTCTGACTTCTCTAAGATTAAACTCAAATCCCATCTTTTCTAGGAGAATGTTCCCAGTCCCAGTCCTCCTAGCTGGTACGTCCTGAACTAAGAGGCTGGATGTGAGCACTATTGTGGAACTGACAAGACTTAGCAACTGAGTAGATAACTGAGGTGCTGGAAAGTGAGCTGAGAATAACACAAACTGAGAAAGGGAAGTTGAATAAATATTTATTATTAAGTACCTACTATGTGTTAAGCACTATATCAAACACTTCACAAATATTGTCTCATTTGATCCTCACAATATTCTTCAGAAGTAGGTGCTAGGTGAGGAAACTGAGGCAGACAAAGGTTAAGAAACTTGCCCAGGGTCACACAGTGGACGTGAACTAAGGTTTTCCTTACTCCAGGCCCACAGCTCTCTCCACTGTGCCACCTAGCTGGCCTTAGGCAGAAGCTATTTAGTTTTTGTATATCCCCAGTACCTAGCATAGCACCTTGCCCTTACCGGGCACTTAATTAATATTTGATGAAGTGAATTATTACTGATGAATTGATGAAATAATCATTAAGTTACAATATACATAGTAACCAAAAAATGAAGTGCTCTGAAAAGGAGCATATTTAATGATAATGGAATTGGTAATATTACATCTATTTCTATAATCCTGCAAGGGTGAGGGAGTGTTCCCCAGTCACCACATCTTGTTGTGACCAACAAGATAGAGAAATTGATATCTTCTTTTATCTTCATAACCTCTCAAACCCCTTAACAATAGACATTATATGCAAGAGATAAAGCAATTTCAGTTGTCTCCACGGTCTAGTTTTAAACACCAAGAACATTAATGAGATAACAATTCAATAAGTGGTAGAGAAGACTAATTCCTAAACCAGGCCTGCACAACACATGGCCCACAGGCTGCTTGCAGCCTGCCAAAGGATTTTGAGAGGCCCACAAAAAACTCAGAGGATGTAAAAGAAAGTAAAAATGTAACCAGTGCTTTGTCCATGCCCCGCTTACCCTGCCTTCCACTAGTCACTACTATGCCTGTCATGTAACTTGCCAGGTGGGTTGCCACTGCGCATTCTCTCGTTTGTCACATGACCTGCGAGCAACCAACCATTGTTAAGTCTATCTATAGTTTGAGAGGAGCAAAAGTGGCATCTTTTTGCTATGTTTTTGGTCGTTACTAAATGTAAACAGTAAGAAAACCTGAAAAATGTATTAAAACTTGTACTTAGCAAAGTAATTTTTAATATTAATGTGATTTCATGGTAAATAAAATTTTTAAGTAATAAGTATAATTAATTGATATTAATTGAAATTTCCTTTTTTAAAAATATGATTTGCAAAATAGTTTAATCATTAATTATACCTTTAGGGCCACTAAAAACCTATCTGTGACCCAAAGAAGTTTAGCCTATTTTAATTTTGCCCTCTACCTACTGCCAAGTTGCGCAGGTCTGTCCTAACCCAGCTATATCCTCTCCCCAACTGCCCACCAAGTTCTGGCAGTGTACGTGGCACCCCACTAAGCATAAGGGAAAGAGCCCAGCATCAGGCTGAGGCTAATTCTGTTTCCCCCCAAAATCACCTAGGGCAGGCTGAGGCCAGGTAAACATGAACTGACTAGTGTTCAAGGAGGCTGAGAGAGCTTTTAGATCCAGCCCTCAGGGCAACAACCATCAAAGGGTGAGAAGTAAAAAAGTGAGCAATAGGGAGAATATAAGGGGAAAAGACTGAAATCACTAAAAGTTCTCAGGAGAAAGAAAACTGAATTAAAGACCTTGAGCATAAGTAGATAAAACAACAAGGAAGCTATTAATAACAGAAGGGAATATGGCCTCCAGATCAACTTAAAGAATCCAGATATCTATTAATAAATATTTTAAGACAAAGGAAAATGAATCAACACCTGATGATTCCCTATAGATTCCCAAGAGAGCAATGGAACCACAGAATAATATTCCTCAATAGTTTAAAAGAGAAATAAGAATTATGAAAGCAATAATTTCTATCAGACAAAACAAAAATAATCGGCAGACCAGAAAAACTTGAATCCAAGGCAGCAAATCTCACCAAACAAAACAGAACTAAAATGTAAA